GGGGGGGGGGGCGGGAGTGCGGGGGGGTGGCTGCGGTGGGGGTCCCAGGGGCTGGGAGTCAGTGACTGAGTGGTCGGGGTGCGGGGGAGGGGGCTGCCCCTGCTGCCCTTGACCCCGCCCTGCTCTCTGCCCCCCAGGAGAGCGCCATCGGCCTGGGCACCTTCTTCCTGTCCTTCCTGGTCCCGGCCGGCTGGATCCTGGCCCACCTGGAGAGCTACAAGAAGCGCGACTGAGCCGGGGCCAGACCCTGCCACCTCCCCCCACCCCGGGCCAAGCCCTGCGTCCGCTCCAGCACCGAGGGACCAAGGAGCCCCCCGCCCGCATGGCTTCCCGCTGTTACAATAAACCCCTTCCCTGCTGAGCTCGGCCTGCTGCGCCTCTCTGGTGTCCTGCGCCTGGGGCGGTTGGAACGGGGGGGGCTCCTGCAGTGGTGTGGTCTAGAGGACCTGGGGGTTCCCTATGCTGGGAAGGGGAAGTGAGGGGTGGGGGCTTAAAGCTGTTAAAAGAAACCCCTACTGTAGGGTCCTGCACCTTTAAATGCTGGGGGGAAGAGGCTGGGGCCCCCCACCCCCATGCTGGGTCTAGGGGACCCTGCTCCCCTTGTGCTGGGGTTGTGCAGGGTGGAGCCCATGGAGTGGGGCTGATGGGGCTGCCCCTGCAGCCTGGGTGTAGGGCTGGAGTCCTGCTTCTGCCCCTGCCCCCCCTTGGGGTGAGGTGGGGCTGGGGTCTTCCCCCTGTGATGGGAAGGGGGTGGGGCCTGGGCAGTAGTTCAGAGCCCTCCCTTGTCTGTGCCCCTCTGCTAGGAGGAGAGAGGGGGCTCCTGGGTCCCTGCTCCCCCTTCAGCTCAATCCTTGCTGTGGGTTTCACTAACTGCCCTCAGGGTGGGGGCAGCGGTGCCACAGCCAGTTCCTGCCAGACCCTTGGATGCTGGGCCCAGGCCCTGACTTTTGCCCCCTGCCCCTGGCAGGGGGGCATCAAGCACCTCTCCCTTCAGTCCTGTCCCCAATGGGCTGTGTGCTTTCACCTGTTCTAGAGGGCAGTTCCACCCCAGAAGTGGCTGCAGTGTCCTGCCCCCCTGGGCTCTGGGGGGAGGTGGGATATGGGTGTCCCCAGAGGCCTTGAGTTGTGGGGAGCTGGTTCTGGGGGGTCTTGTACCCTCCTCTGGTGGTGATGGTTGTGGGGCTGAGTGGAGGGTG